CCGGGAATGGAGTTCTGGGAGGTCGAAGAGCACGAAGTGTGTGACTGTTGACGAAAAACGAGCCCGGCTCTGTTCCCGGTTCTCCAGAAAGTGGCCCGGGAATGGAGTTCTGGGAGGTCGAAGAGCACGAAGTGTGTGACTGTTGGCGAAAAACGATTCCCGGTTCTCCTCCCCATTACCCGCCCAGACCCCCCTGAGGAGTCCAGATGCTCTCTTTTGACCCTACTACAAACCTACCAGCAAACGCTGTTAGGTAAAAAAAGATTATCCCGGCAAAGCAACCTAACAGCGATATGTAGAAGCATGTCTGACAGCATTCCCCTTAAGATTCAGATGAAAATCCAGTTGTAGAATTCTGCTGTTCTCGCAGTCGTAGTCGCATTCGCGATGACAGTCGCAGCGGCAACGGCAGTCGCAGTCACAGCCTCAGCCTCAGCCTGCCTCAGCCTCAGCCTCAGCCTGCCTCAGCCTCAGCCTGCTTCAGCCTCAGCCTCAGTCTGCCTTCAGCCTCGGCCTCAGCCTCAGCCTGCCTCAGCCTCAGCCTGCATCAGCCTCAGCCTCAGCCTCAGCCTGCCTCAGCATCAGCCTGCCTCAGCCTCAGCCTCAGCCTGCCTCAGCCTCAGCCTCAGTCTGCTTCAGCCTCAGCCTCAGTCTGCCTTCAGCCTCGGCCTCAGCCTCAGCCTGCCTCAGCCTCAGCCTGCCTCGGCCGCAGCATCAGCCTGCCTCAGCATTCAAAATGTGGCCCAGGAATGGAGTTCTGGGAACTAGAAGAACACGAAGTGGCCTACAGTTGGCTCCGGGCATTCAAAATCATGCCCAATTTCTGGGAACTTGAAGAGCACGAAGTGGCCTACAGTTGGCTCCGGGCATCCAAAATGTGGCCCGGGAATGGAGTTCTGGGAAATCGAAGAGCACGAAGTGGCCTACAGTTGGCTCCGGGCATCCAAAATGTGGCCCGGGAATGGAGTTCTGGGAACTCGAAGAGCACGAAGTGGACTACAGTTGGCTCCGGGCACTCAAAATGTGGCCCGGGAATGGAGTTCTGGGAGGTCGAAGAGCACGAAGTGTGTGACTGTTGACGAAAAACTCCGGGTTCTCCAGAAAGTGGCCCGGGAATTGAGTTCTGGGAGGTCGAAGAGCACGAAGTGTGTGACTGTTGACGAAAAACGAGCCCGGCTCTGTTCCCGGTTCTCCAGAATGTGTCCCGGGAATGGAGTTCTGGGAGGTCGAAGAGCACGAAGTGTGTGACTGTTGGCGAAAAACGATTCCCGGTTCTCCTCCCCGGCACCCGCCCAGACCCCCCTGAGGAGTCCAGATGCTTTCTTTTGACCCTACTAGAAACCTATCAGCAAACGCTGTTAGGTAAAAACGAATCAGGGTCAGAGAAAACGAGGCCACGACCCAGGGGCCGAGAAAACGAGAAAAAGAGAAAACGAGAACGCGAACCAGGGTCCGAGAAAACGAGAGGGGCCGAGAAAACCAGAAGGGCCGAGAAAACGAGAAAACGCGAAAACGAACCAGGGCCCGAGAAAACCAGAAAACGAGACCACGACCCAGGGGCCGAGAAACCAAAAAACGAGACCACGAACCAGGTCCGAGAAAACGAGACCACGACCCAGGGGCAAAGAAAACGAGAAAACGAGAACGCGAACCAGGAGGAAACGAGACCACGACCCATAGGTCGAGAAAACAAGGAATCGAGAAAACGAACCAGGGTCAGAGAAAACAAAACCACAATCCAGGGGCCGAGAAAACGATAAAACGAGAAACCGAACTAGGGTCAGAGAAAACAAAAACACGACCCAGGGGCAGAGAAAACGAGAAAACGAGAACACAAAACCATGGTCCGAGAAAACCAGACCACGAACCAGGGGCAGAGAAAACAATAAAACGTGAAAACGAACCAGAAGCCAAGAAAACGAGACCACGACCCAGGGGCAGAGAACACGAAAAAAGAGAAAACAAACCAGCGTCCGAGGAAAAATGAGACCACGACCCAGGGGCCGAGAAAACACGAAAACGAGACCACGAACCAGGGCCCGAGAAAACAACACAAAAACCCACAAGCCGAGAAAACGAGAAAACGAGACAACGAACCAGGGTCCGAGAAAACAAGACCACGACCAAGGGGCCGAGAACACGAGAAAACCATCCAAAGTCCGAGCAAACGAGACCACGACCCAAGGGCACAGAAAACGCGAAAACGAACCAGGGCCCGAGACAACACGACCACGAACCAGGGGCCGAGAAAACGAGAAAAACGATGAAAGGAATCAGGGTCCAAGAAAACGAGACTACGAACCAGGGGCCGAGAAAACAAGATATCGAGAAAACGAACCAGGGCCCAAGAAAACGAGACCACGACCCAGGGGCCGAGAAAACAAAGAACGAGAAAACGAACCAGGCCCCGAGAAAACGAGACCACGACCCAGGGGCCGAGGGAACGAGAAAACGCGAAAACGACCCACGACCGAGGGGCCGACAAAACGAGAAAACGCGAAAACGAATCACGGCCCGACGAAACGTCACGACCAAGGGCCGAGATCAGCAGAAAACGCTTGGTTCGAGAAAACGAGACCACGACCCAGGAGCCGAGAAAACGAGAAAACGCAGCAGGGTCAGAGAAAACGAGACCACCAACCGGGGGCCGAGACAACGAGAAAACGGGAATACGAACCAGCGTCCGAGAAAACGAAACCACGACACAGGGGTCGAGAAAACGCGAAAACAAGAAAACTAAGCAGGGTCCGAGAAAACGAGACCACGACCCAGGGGCCGAGAAAACGAGAAAACGAGAACACGAACCAGGGTCAGAGAAAACGAGACCGAGACCCAGGGGCCGAAAACACGAGAAAACAAGAAAACGAACCAGGAGCCGAGAAAACGAGAAAACGACAAAAGGAATCAGGGCCCGAGAAAACGAGACTACGAACCAGGGGCCGCGAAAACAAGAAAAGAAGAAAACGACCCAGGGGCCGACGTTATTCTCCAAGGCGTTCTCTAGCGCTGCGGTGCGCACCTGTCTGCAAAGGAAGGCGGGGGGCGTAGCTTGAAGCCGCCCCCCCCCTGTGTCCAGAGCAAAAAACGAAGGAAGGGGGGTTACCTTCCGAAGCCCCCCCCTTTAAAAGGGAAGCCCGGGCTCACCTTCTGCTCCGTAAAGGGGAGGGAGGTGTCAGTTGCGTGGGCATCAACAGAACAAATCTCGGAACTCTGATTTGTGAGGATGTCAACCAACAGTGAATGAGGGTTCCCTGCCTGTGCCCGTTCCGCAGCCATCTGGGTCAGACCAGATTTGAGCCTGGAGCCAGGCTATTTTTACACTGAGGTCCGAAGCTCAGGGGGAACTGCACTGATATCACGAAATCCTGGATATGTTGTCAAACGGATTGCTGCCTTGCTCGCGACATCTACCTTCAGTCAGGGATATAGTCTCAGCTCTAGCGAGCCTAAGACTCCGCTTACCTCCTGGAGGACAAGGGCCTGGAAGAGTAGTGAGGATATCTCGAGGTGGAAGCTAGAAGATCCGTGGATAACACGCTCCCCTGACAGGAGGGAGGGGGATAGCTTCGAATCCCCCCCCCCTTCAGCCAGGGCCCCACCTAGCTTAGAAACCATTACAGAAAGGAGGGGGGTGGGGGTAGCTTCGGAAGCTCCCCCCCCACTTTTGGAAGGGAGGGGGGGGAGGGTAGCTTGAAGCTGGGGCCCCCCTTTCCTTATTCCCGGCGCTGCGGGCGCGCTCTTTCGACCCTGCTGTACCATCCCCCCCCCTTTGATCGATCTCCTCCAAGATGGCCCCAAGATGGTCCCCGAGGCGCTCACGAGTGACCCAACAGGGTCCCAAGAGGCGCCCAGAAAGCTCCAAGATGCTCCCAAGATGGCCCGAGGAGGCCCCCAAGAGACCCCAATGAGGTCCCAAAAGGCTTCCCCAAGGCAACCGAGATGCTTGAAGAGGCCGCCAAGAGGCGCCCAAGACGCCCCAGCAGATCCACAAGAAGCTCTCGAGACATCCGAAGGAAAACTCCGAGAAGCATCCAAGAGGCTCCTGACCTTCCTGTTCGCCCTACTCCTCTTCATCCTCCTCCTCCTCCTCCTCCTCATCATCATCATCATCAGCATCATCAGCATCAGCATCAGCATCATCCTCATCATCAGCATCATCATCAGCATCAGCATCATCATCAGCATCATCATCATCATCATCATCATCATCATCATCATCATCATCATCATCATCATCATCATCATCATCATCATCATCATCATCATCATCATCATCATCATCATCATCATCATCGTCATCCCTCCTCCCCCCCGCTCCCCCTCCCCTCTCCCCCTTCTGCGCCAATTACTCCTCCATCCTCCCCCTCTTGGGGTATGACGGCTTCCCCAGCCCTTTACTCCACTGAACGTTTCTCCACAGCCCTGATCAAGGCAGCTAGCCTGGGCATCGTCTCTTGGTGGGCTAGTGGGGCTACGCGAAACGTCTAGAATGTCGCCAACAAATCGCGGGTGGATGGGTGGGATGCTTGCACGAGCATTGGAGGTGCTCCCGCGTGGATGCGGTCAAGGTGAACTGTCACCCCAGGAATTGCACCACACAGAACCCGCTGATTGGGGTCGACACTGGCAAACATGCCTGTCTCTGAGCCTATCCCTGTATCTCTCACTGTCTGAGCTGAGAGCGGGGCCCTGTGCTCCGGGCCTGCGGCCCCGTACGTCGAGAGAACCGTTATGACATGGGAATGTGGCCCACGCCCCGAACATAATACCAACCCGAACCTCCGAACGCACCTCTCACTGCAACGAGAGCACCGTTCACGGCCTGAGATGTGGTTGACGCTGGAGTTAACACTCCGCGTCGAACTGAATTGCGAAAACGTCAATGCCATCAACGTTGAAGCCTTGAGATCGCTCTCAAGCTGGACTCAAGCTGGACCATGAGCACCCTCGACACTCAAAATGGGGGAGCGGCGGGTGACATCGCCGCAAGCGTCCTGGACCATGTCCTTCCCGTTGGGCATCCGCTCCGTGTAGAATAGAGAGAGCGACAGTGTCACCAAAGACACGAACAAACCCGAGAAGACAAGACAGACCAAATTGTGGACAAAATCACGCTTCAGAGTCCTATTGCACAGAACGAACAGCATTTGCATCAATGCCAGGTTCGTGAAAAGTATCAGCGGCGTCCCAGTCTGCTGCAACATCTGGTACGTGATAGTGCCGCCAAAACTACCGAAAGTACACTCTGGCTTAAAATCAAGGGTCTTGAAGATGCCTGGGATGCTAAGAAGTTCCAGATAAGTGAAGAACGTATCAAGGATGGGCGGCGCCGTGATGTCTAAGCGGCTCAGGGTCTGAACTATCTGGATAAACTCGACCAACGATTCGATCGTCCCTTGACTGGCAGTTTTGGGGCTATTGACATTGATGTAAAATGCAATATTTAATACAAGCTGGGTCACTAAACTGACAAGCCACTTGCCAACCACAAGTATGACAGTCACTTCCGCACACGGCTCACACCTTCCATCAGTTAGGTACAACTCTGGCAAGCACTCTGCACACCGTGCTGACGCCGAGTCAAAACCTGCAGTGCACATGGAGCTAAGGACGTGGCGTTCCCCCATGCAGCGTACCGTATGAACGCACTTATGGGCAAGGATGGCAAATTCATCTGGCTGCCGGGTCGCCGTACCAAGAATAGGGCGCCAAGCAGTTCATTCGTGCAGCGAGTGTGAACCACCAGTGCGTGGAGCCCTGAGTGTGGAACACTACGTGCATTGAACTGGAACCCCATGTACGACGACTATGTGTGCATGCGCGTGGAACCCTACGTGTATGTGGAACCCTGTGCCCTGTGTGGGCAGAACACTATGGGCGGGAACCCTACAAAGATACGTTGGATGGACCAACATAAGGGCCCACGCCGCCACAGGAAGAACAAGGGCAGGCAGAACCAGGGACGCTAAGTCACAAAGACCAAGCGGCAACACAAAATGCGGCCCCTGCGAAATAAGATGCCACAAAAATCTGATGCAAGCAAACTGGCAGGCCTGGGCTGGATCGAATCGCGAATTCGGATCGGATCTGAAATAGATCGGACCACGAGCGAATCGCGAACGCACCGGATCGACATCGGAGCGCTGCGCCCAGCTCCTGCTCGCCCCGAACGATGCCAACGAAGCCAGCCGGATCGAGTCGGATCGGAATCGCGGCCCCAACGGGCGCATCGAATCGCATCAAATCGGATCGAAGGCGGCCCTGACGGGCGGGGGTCCTCATAGCCGCCGGGAGAAGCGCAGCGGCAGAGGTCCGTGGGGAGCAGCACGTCGCAGGGATATGCGAGCAGCCGCCCGGAGAGGCGGGGCAGACACCACCGGCGGGGCGGGAGGCCAGGGCAGCTGCGGGAAGCCGAGCCGGGCAGTCACGAGGACGCGGGAAACAAGGATACAGTACAGTCGGACTTGATTGCAGAGGACACGCGAGAGGACACAAGACCCTTCGAAGGGCCACGTTGCCACAGAAAGGCAGGAGGTGTGGGTCGCAAAACACAGGACACGAGGGTGCCCTCGACCTGGCAGGGTCGACCTACTGATCCGGGCCGCCTGTATTGGCAGACAGAGCTGGCGGGGCAGGAAGTCATCAGGGGCCCGCCAGGGATTTAAACCAAAGGGACCCCAGCCCACCATAATGAGCGACGGACGAGGCAAGTGGGGCGGAAAGCCCTGGGTATCCACAGAAGACGCGCCAGAGGGGTCCAAGAAGCCACCAGAGAGTGCGGCAGGAGCGAGAAACACTGTAGGTATACATGGGAACTCCAACCGTAGTGATATACTGTCGGATATTACCATGAAAATCATAAACACAACTAGATGTCAAATCTCTACCCATGAGCAACCAATCATGTTAAGACTATTCACTCATATCTGCCCACGTGTCCGTCATTATGTATATCCCGAAGCCCTCGATATCCACCAGATTCGTCTTCGGACGTAGCCCCCTTTGGGGGTAGATATTCCAAACATGCGCAGTGTAGTCGGCGCAGCCCCTGATGCAGGAACGGGGAAGACAGGAAAATACGTATCGCGAGGACGGAGGGAGTGCGGGAGGTGAGGGAGGAGGGAAGGGGCTATGGGGCGGAGGAGAAGGATGGAGCGCGAGAGAGGTTGGCAGGAGAGGGGTGAGGAAGCACGAGAGCAAGCGGCAGAACTGGACGGGCGGGTCGGGCGAGCGGACCCTAACAAGCGGGACGGGCGGGCGGGCCAAGACAGCAGGGTCGAGCGGGCGGGTCGCTGAGCCCCGAAGCGACGAACTACCGATCCAAGACGCCAAGGATGGCCGTCAGACGGTCCACGAGGCTTCCAAGACACCCCAGGAGGCCCCCAAGAGCACTCCCAAGAGGGCCCCAGGAATTCAAGATGACAGGTGTTCCTCCCGCATGCCTCCACGAGGCCTCAGATCCGCTCCGAGGCGGCTCCAAGTGACCACGGAAACGTCCCACGAGATCCCTCCCCCATGAGGCCCCACAACTGAGCCCCAGAGGCTCCCAAGAGAGCCCGAAGAAGGGCTGCAGAGAGTCAGCGTCGTCGTCGCCGCCGCGGCCGTCGTCCCCCTTCAGGGTCGGCGGCACCAGCCGCAAGGCCTTCCCATCAGATTGCGAGGAGGTCCCTCGCGAGAGCGCGATTCTTGGGTAAATTGCAAGGGAATCCTGAGCGAGAGCGCGAGTTCTTCAATACAGTGTGCGGGCATATCAGGCGGGAGCCGTTCTTGCAGCAGTTCGGGGGTCAGCAGCACAATTGGAGAACAAAGACTTTCTGCTGTAACACAGAAGGTGCGAGCCCTGTGACGGGCACTTCAATTGAAAAACACATGTGCTGCCGGGGACGGTGGATTCAAAGCTATCATCCTCCGGACGTGAAAGCTCACCACCAACAACGCCACGAACTACTGTCATTTTAAGACTGCTCGCTCTCATCTGCTCGCGTGCCATTCAACACGTCTATCCCAAACCCTCAATATCCACCCTCGCAGTCTTCGATCTGACCCCCTTGGGGATCTATCTTCCTTACCTACCACGTGTATTTGGCGCAGCCCCTAAAACAGAGGAAGAGAGGACGGATGGAAGCAATGAACAAGTGGGAAGAAGAAGGATGGAACACAAGAGAGACTAGCAGGAGGGGGGCTAGGAGACCTCTCAGACGCCCAAGGTGGCCTCCAAGACGGCCGTGGAGCGCCCCAAGAGGGCCCCAAGACGGCCGAGAGAGTCCCCAAGACGAAGACGAGCTACGACGGCGTCAGATGGGCCAGGAACGCCCTCAGGAGGCAAACGAGCTTCCCAAGGAGCCTCCAAAGACCCCGAAGAAGCCCAAGGAGACCTTCGAGAGGCCTCCAAGAGGGCGCCAGGAGGCCCCAGGAGGCCCCGAGAGTGCCCCAATGACTCCAAAGACTCCGCCTGCTCCTCCTCCCCCTCCTCCTCCTTCTCCTCCATGCCTTTTCCTGTATATATATATATATATATATATATATGTATATATAACTCTTCCCTGTCGCACCCGAGGCTGGTCGAAAGGGCGGGCCGGGCGTTTCCCCTGAGACATCCTCACAAACCATGATCATGAAGCTTGAGAAGTGCATCAATTTCACAGATGGAAGGCGGTCCGCTTTCAAAATGTGGCTCTCAGCTTAGCGCCGCGCAAATTCGTTTTAAAAGTTTGCAAGAGTTTCACGGATGGAGGGTTAATCCTTTTCAAAATATGGCTCTCGCCTGAGCGCCGCGCCAATTCGTCGTAAGGGTTTGCAGCAATTTCAAAGTGTCGCATGGCTCAAGTCCGAGAAACGTCTTGTTGGCACATGTCGGAATGTCAGGGCGCAACAATCACATTGATTCGCGGTGCTGACGTCCCAAGAATGGTGTTCTGGCACGGTTCAAGACCGTCAAGGCGCAACAGTGAGGGGGATTCGCGGCGTTGAAGTCCAAGGAATGGCGTTCTGGCACAATTCCGGATGTTCAAACGGTTGTCGTCCAACGGGGCACTTCCCTCAGTGAAGGTGGATCCGTGTAGGATCCTATCAAGAGGGAACTTGGATGGGAGGGCTTGATTGCAATAGTATTGATGAGTCTTGAATTTACGCTGGTCCTCCTCTTCCTCCAACTGATCCTCGTTCTCATCCTCCTCCTCCTCCTTCTCCTGCCTCCTCCTCCTTCGCCTCTTCCTTTTTCCTCCTCGTTCTCTTACTCTTCATCCCCCAAGTGTTCCCCGAAGGGTTCCCACAACGGCTGGGGGGACACACGGTCCCATAGAGTGGCCGAGCTCTGGCTACACATTCGGCCGCACAGGCCATTCCAAGAGGCAGGGGGCGGCGGTGATTCGCCGTAGGCATCTTCGATAGGGCTGCACACAGACACACGCAATCACACCCACAAATTCACTCACACACACACACACACACACGCACGCACGCACGCACGCACGCACGCACACACACACACACACACACACACACACACACACACACACACACACACACGCACGCACGCACGCATACACACACACACACACTTCAATGTACAAGTCAACTTTACTGTTTGGGGTCCATGTACTGGCATCATATGATCTGGTTCAATTTGCAAGCTCTTCCTGGGATTGACGTTCAATTCACGCGCGTACAGTCTCGGATTGGCATTGAATGATCAGTGAGCACGCGCGTGATAAGTCAGGCTCGGTGTTGCTCATTGCTTCTTGGTGGGTCAACACCGCTTTCGTTGGAAGGGAACGGTTATGAGGAGGACAGGGGATCATGTGGCAGAGCACGACCGACTATTTAGGAATGGCTTCTAGCGGTGCAATGGTTACTTTGTTAGTCAGCGGCCGCAGGCGAGCGCGCCAGCGGCGAGTCCAGTAGTCAAAGCGGGGCACGCAGCGACAGATTCACCTAAAGCACCGGGGCGCAGCCTCACCTAAAGCGGCTTGGCGGAGCCTCACGCAGCGCCTCAGCGGCGGACCGGCGAGGGGGCTGGCTGAAACTGCGTAGCACTGCCAGCGTGCAGGTATGCAAGGCGTCGGAAGCGTCAGGTCGCCGGGAAGCGGTGCAGTGGTTGCGCAGGGCTATGCAGAGCAGTGCGATCCAAAGCCGCCCAGAGCGGTACGGAGCGATGCAGCACAAAAATGCAAATCGATGCTACACTGCGCCCGTGGGGCGCCCGGGAGCCGACCATCGGGAAGGGAAATACCATACGGGGCGGCAACGGGGCAGCAGCAGGGCGGCAGCGGGCAGAGAAGCAGCAACGACCTCACAACAACCCTGGGGACAAAAAAACGGTGATGGGAATTGATGCTGGGTCCAACGGTCGACATCTCTTGAAGGTTGCCTGAGTGGACTGGTCGAAGGATGCGAAGCTTGTCTGTGAAAGGGAAAACTGTTTGAACACACATTCCACAATGATTCAATGGTGCGACCCGGTAGCGATGAATTGTCCGCCCCTGTATAAACTGAAAACGGGTCGTCATCAAGCGTCATATAACCCTCCTTGACTTTGACTGTCTTATCGATGCCGAGGTCTCTGTGGACGATGTGTCCGCCAGGGCAATCGAAATACTCTCCGCATGTGCGGCATGTACCAGAGCTTTCCTCATACATCTTGCCCTTGTAGCACGCACATCCATTAAGGGTAAATTCGAATCCTTCTTTGCAGGAGCTGGGGAGGAATTCATCGATGCTGGAAGGAAACGCCGAGTCATGAATGATACGGCCCTCCCGCGGGTGGATGGATAAGGTAGACCAGTCGAGTGAAGAATACTGAAAGGCACCTTCCTGTATCTCAATCACTGAAGCTGGAATGGTCAAGTTTCTCAGCGATGAGCAATATCCGAAAGCAGACTTGCCAATCGTGATCGTGTTATTGCCTTCCCAATCCAATGCAATGCCCCATTCGACGCTCTGCAGAGAACTGCAATTACTAAACGCGCCCTGGCTGATGGCGGATACCCCGTCAGGAATAAAAACGTGTACCAACGCAGTGCAGTTAGCGAACACATAATCCTCCAGCACTGTCAGTCCATTCAAGTTTGGCGTTGATGACAAAGAGGAACAGCCAGCGAAAGCAGATTTGCCGACAGCACGTAAAGAATCACCAATATATAAATCCTTGAGACGTGAACAACCGTAGAAACCGTGTTCACCGATAGTTTGAATTCGGGAAGAGCCCTCTTCATCCAGTCGTCGACCAAGGCCACGCACGGTCAGGCTCTGCAAAGCACTACAACCAGAGAAGGTGAAGTCAGCGATGCTGTCAACGTTGGGAGGGATCTCCACGTGAACCAAAGACGCGCAGCCCTGAAACGCGCTCCAACCTATAGATTCAATGGTATCGCTTAGGGACAGGTTCACGATTCTCGAACAGTCCAGGAAAGCCCGAGCCCCTACTGAAAGAATTCGGCTTGACATCGTGACTGCAGACCTCAGCTGCCCCTGCAAATCCCCATTAAGGATCTGTGTTGGGTCCTGAACACCTCTCACTATCACAGAAAAGCGTTGCATAACCTACCCTTCCAGACTTCGTGAACTGGAGTGCAAGCCGCATCGGCTCGGAGCTGGAATTCCAAGCGGGGTCCTTTCTGGAGCTCTGAGCTGGCGGGAATTTGGCCCAGCGCCTCTTCAGAGCTTCAGCCACGAGGCAGAGTGTGGCGGGCGCCCCCACAGAAATTTCACCTGGAGGCGCCCTGGAGGCTAAAAGTGACAGCCTGGGCTCCCCATCGCGAACGCGCTGCGGGGTCGGCCAGCGCCGAATCGGGAGCTCAGACTGAACCGGAGCGTGTGCGTCGGATCGGGCCGCGTCGGCACGGAGTCGGCCTCGAATCGGCTCGGCTGCACCGAGATGCACAGCAGCGCCACGTCAGCATCGGGTCCCATCGGATCGCCGAGACATCGGAATCGGATCGGATCCCACTGGCCCGAAACGGTGTCGAAGCGACGCACAACAGAAGGGGAGCAAAGCTCCAGGGCGAGAGGGCACGGGAAAGGCCCTCGCGTCGAGGGGCTGGCAACCACGGCCAACGCCAGGAGCCCCTTGAGGAATCCGATCGTATCCATGTTCTACACAATTCATACCCAGGAGGGCCCTGAGCCACTCCACCTTTCGTAACATCAGGAAGGGAGCCACAGCCCTCCCAGACGAGCCATTCAGACCCCCCCCCAGACCAGCCATCCAGGGGCTGCCCAGACCCCCTGGAACCCTCCAAGGCGACAGCTCGAATCAGACCACCCCCTAAATCAGGCCACAGCCCTGTATTTGAAATTCGGCGTATTCCAGCCAGCACGCCAGTCGAAGGCCCGTGACCCAGCGCGCGCCCAATCACCACAATCACCACGAGCCCCAACCAAGAACAACGGAAGCCGATCGACAGTGCACGATCGATCCTCCTCCCAGTCTCCCACGATCCGCGCGCGAAGTCCCGGCTGGCGTAACTAGAGCATCTAGGCCAAAGGCAGGTGAGAGCACTGAGCAAAAGCATCTGCTCCGATAGCGGTGACGTTGTCGAACATATGCACAGAGGCCACAGAAGTGCAGCCTTTCAGAGCTTCATCGGCGACGCTGGTCGTTGACCCAAGGAAGGTCACAGAGGTGATGATCGTACAGTCGAAGACATCGCCAATGCTTCTGGGGAGCGGCGACGGTATTGTTGCGGCAGTCAACGAATGACAGCCGCCGAACACATCGATTCCAAGGTAGTCAAGATTGCTCCCAAGGACAACTGATGATAGTGAGGAACAATCTCTGAACGCCTCATCCCTGATGGCGGTGACTGAGCCATCAAGAGAAATAGTGGGTAGCTGCGAGCAGTTCTTGAAGGCCCGTTCCCCGATGTACACCACTGTGTCGCCAATGGCCAGGTATTGCAGAGACGTGCAGTCTGCCCATGCCTCTGCAACAATCTCTGTAGCCTGGATGCTAAGAGTGACAATATGGTCGCAATTCTCAAACATTGATTTTTGGCCTCCGCCTGCAGCAATCGTAACGTTTGTGATGCGTGAACATCCGTCGAAAACAGAATCGAGCTTAGTTTCAGACCAAGAAGTGACATCAGTTATGTTGCAGCAGCCCTCGAAAGGTGCTACGCCCACAACTCGCAGTGAAGAACCGATTGTCACATGACTCAGGGCAGTGCACCCAGCAAACGCATGCGTCTGGACTTCGACGACTGAGTCAGGGATGCGCACATTCATGAGCGAGCTGCACGAAAAGAATGCTTCTGAACCAATCTCCTCGACCGAATCGGGAAGGTCGACTGACTCCAAACTGTAGCAAGAGCGAAATGCACTCGCAGAAATTACGGTCACCGAGCTGGGGATGGTCACGTGCACCAGCTCTGGACAATAAGCCAGAATCCCCTCGTTGATGACATTGACATGGTCGCCAAGGTAAGCCGTTCTGAGCGAGCTGCACGAAGAGAAAGCCCAAGGGCCTACATAGATCACCGACTCTGGCACGCGCACCACAGGCAGAGAGATACAACCGCCGAAGGCAAACTCGCCGATGGAAACGGTAGAAGTGGACATTTCCGCTGCACACCCCATGTGGGCCCAACGGGCGGCGAAAACACCATGCTCGTCGCGACCGTGACCAATGGAAAGCATGGGACTCGATTGGGGATTCGTTGGGCTCCACAGGGCACCACTGCAATCCATAGGCTTCGATTGCAGTCCATGTGACTCCATTTGACTCCACATGTCACCACAGGGCCCCAGCGGCCTCCGTCGGACCCCACTGGACAGAGGCCTACATTGAACCTCACTGGACTTCATCCACAGGACCTGCTTCGGGTGCCACAGGGAACACTGACAGGAAAGCATTGGAACGCGAAGCGGGAGCCATGGGCAAATACACATAGGCATCGAGCGGGAGGCCCACAGGATCCCATTCGAATACAGCTCGGGCTGTTGAAATAAGAAACGCTAATCAAGAACGAAACCCCTCTTTGGCACCAGAAATGCCTGGGTGCACGAGGAGGGCTAACGAAACAACCACGGAATGACCTAAGGAACATCAGTTCCAAACCCGAAGCGGTCCTTGTCTCAACGTCTTGGCCGTACGTACCTGGGAGACCCCATGGGAATCCGCCGACCCCACGTTTGCAGTGGGTGAAACGGCGTGTGAGGCATTAGGATGTCCCCCTCCCCCCGCTCGTCCCCAAGGGCCCAGAGTTCAGCTTACGGGAGAGGTACGCGAACTCATCAGCGCACTCCCGGAGGCGCCGGAACCTTCCGACTCGGCCTTCTGTGGCCTTTCGGGGTCCAGCTTCCAGCATGGCCTCTCGGGCGCAGTCCAATCAGGCAGATATCTTGCACATCGAACTTGGGCAGTTCGATGCTGCTCAGTGGAAGCATGCTACTTGCTGCCTGATGCTTACGGACCAGAGAGTTGTTGACGTTGCTGGTGGTTTTCGTTCTGATCCAACCACTGCACACCAAAGCATGTATGCATGAATCAAGCATGGCCGCGATGGGCGCTTTGAGGGCGAAACCAACAACATCCCACTAGGAAGGGGGGGGGTCCCCCAACCCGGCGGTGTGGGGGCCCGAGCTCGTCCACGCACCTCCGCGGCCCTCGGAGCCTCCACATCCACGCTCCGCGGCTGCAGAAGATATCCAAGATGCCCTCTCACGTGGCTCACAAGAGCCCCAACAAGCCGGAGGGGGCCTCAAAGATATCCAGGATGGCCTGGGGACGGCCCGAGACGCCCTCGAGACGCACCAACAGGGCATGCACTCCCACTGCTTTTGGATTCGTTTCGCGTTCTCGCCTTGAGAACTGGGAGCCTACGAATATTTAGTTCCTAAAATGCCTTACGCAGCCCTGCCGCCGCCCCCCATTTCGGCACACTCATCACGCAGATCCTTGCCCTCGGAGCGTCAGGAATGGTGTTCCGAGAGCTTTTGCAAAACGCAGGGCGCGTAGCATCGCCCTTTGCATCGGCCTTCGCGCACCGCGTCGCAGACTAAGGATGCGAACTGGGGATCCGCGTCCTCGAGGCAACAAGCTATCCCACGCTCGTTGCGCAGCCACTCCATGCAATCTCACCGCCGCTGGGCGGCGTCCCTGCGACGCACAGGGGCTCGCGTAAAAATACATTGTTCTTCAAATCGCGTCGTCGCGCGCGCGTGCCGCATCGCCGTTGCAGCGGCTTCCCAGAAGACTTTGCGCGACTGTCGCCGTCGTCGTTTTGAGATCAATATCGTCGTCTTCGTCATCGGTATCGTCGTCGTCGTCGTCTTGAGATCAATATGTCTTGGGTCATGGGTGGGTGGGACACGTCCATCAGGCTTCAAACTTGGGCTAGTGGACCCTAAATCCTAAACCCTAAGCCCGAAAATCCAAGACGACTCGAGACGCAACCCAGACCAGTCACAAGGCAGCCCAGGAGGCTCCCGAGACGGCACGACAGGCCCACAGGAGAGCCCCAAGAGGGGCTCAAGAGAGGGCCAAAAATTGAGCAGGGACCGACCGTCCCGGCATTCCAATAAGCCTACCACGAAATGTTCTCAGAACCCAAAAATGCTCTAAGAACAAAAAACAATGTTCTTAGAACATAACCCCGATGTGTTCAAACAAGACAGTCCCAGCCAGAAGTGTTCTAGGAACATTTCGTGGAAACCACCAGAGATTCTTAGAACATTCTTTGGTAGGCCTACAATAGGCGAGCTGGGACGCTTCGCCACTGCTCGCAAGAGGGGAACTCGCAGAGACCCCGGAAGCCTCCCCCCCCAGACGGCCCCAAGACCCGCAACAGTCCCCCGAGAGGCCCCCAAAATGGGCCCGACAAGCCCTCGGGACCCACGAAAGTGCTCGAAGAGGCTGCCCCCGCAGCTCCCAAGAGGCCCCCGAGGAGCCAACGCAACAGACGCGGCTGAAGACGAAGACACATCAGCAACAACATCACGCTGACAGCACACACGGCGGGAAGCGGCTCACAACACACACACACACACACACACACACACACGCACACGAAAGCGGGAGCCGCACAGGTCCTCCTCCGCGGGCCGGCGGAACGGCGCAGGCCTCTCGAATCCGCCCGCCCACCGGGCGGAGGGGCGTGCGAGACTCGACTACGAGAGCTCCTTACGGTGCTCGAGTCCCCCCCCCTGATAATCCCCCCCCCCCCCCGCCGGAGGCCTCCGCCGTTCCGCCGCCCGGCTGCGCCCAGGCCCCTCTGCGGTTCCCAAGACGCCTCCAGGACGGCTTCCAAGACGAGCTCGATTCCCAGATCGCATCGTTCTGAGGACGCCTCCGGGGCACAGTTTGGCTTCATTTCGGCCCCGTCGGGGCCCTCCTTGGCCTCCAAAATCCGCTCCCTGGGCCCTCGAGAGCGCCTTCGTGGCCCGTTCTCGCCGAAAAGCAAGCATGTCACAAAAAAATGCAAATACGATGTTATGTTTCACGATTTCCGCTTCCCGGGGGTGACCAAGATGCTTCATACAACTGCCTTCGAGGCTCACTTGTGTATTTTTCATGTTTCAAATTTGGACGCCGTTTTTGGGCGCGCTCTGGGGTGCATTTTGGAAGATTCGGGTCCCCACTTGGGCCCCAAAACGGACCCAAAACAACCTAGAACCGGCCCGGTTTTTGCCGCAAGACGGACGGGGCGGCCCAAGAGGCCGCCAAGAGGGCCCCAAGACGACCCAAGTGGGCCCCAAGACGGCCCAAGACGGCTCCCAGACAGTCGAAGAGGGCTCCAAGATCGCCCCAAGACGGCCCAAGAGGCCTCGAAAAAGGCTCCAATATTGGCCAAGAGGGCCCCAAGGCGGCCCAAGAAGCCCCTAGGACGGCCCAAGAGGGACCCAACAGGAGGAGCCCGAACAAACTGTTCGAGCCCTCCGCCCCAAGAGGCCCCACAGGAGGCCCCAACAACCCCAAGAAACTCCAGGAGGCCCCCAAGAAGCCAGAAGACGCCCCCGACAGGCCCCGAAGAGGCCCCAGCACGATCCCCAAGAGGCTCCGAGAGACTTCACTGGTGCCCGAATGGTACCACTTGAAGCCTACATACTCAAAAGGCACCCAAGAGGCATCCCGGAGGCTCGCGGACACAGCACGTGGCATGCCTGAGCCTAACAGGCGATGGGTTGGGAACAACAATGGAGCGCAGGCAAAAACAACAAAACCCACCTGCGGGGGGGTCTTGCATGATTTTCTTCATATATGTTCATCCCGTAATGGAGCCGTCTTCGTCTCGTCTGGCGAAAACTGGAGTGGGCGGGCGGTGAACGCGAATCGCCTTGAATAACCATAGAAACCATTGGAACATCCGTTGGACTCCATTGTACCCCGAGGGCTACATTGGATTCCTCAACACTCCATTGAATTTCGGGGAAGAATTTGGACTGCATTGGACCCACTTGGACTCCAGGGGAGTCCACTCAATAGGACTCGACATGAGTATTATAGGGAAATGCATTGGTATGTCCATAAGAACCTATTGGAACACGCAGTGGAATCCACGACATACCCCTAGGATTCAAGTGGAAATTGTATAGAAGTACCTATGGACATCGAACTCAAGGTTTGCCGGCACGGCTATCATAATTGATGGTAAAGCATGGATTGAAAACTACGTGGTGCAAGATATGTGATGAAAGCTGCGTGGTGTCAGATGTGCGGTGACCGCGTGGAATGAGCTACTTGTGAAACACATGTGGCGCAGGCTACTTCATGCAAGCTACGTGGTGCAGGCCTAAGCTACTTGGTGTCAGCTATGTGGGGTAAGCTATGTGGTAAAAACTACGCGGCGGAAGCAATGTTCCAAGCTATGTGGTGCAAACGATGGCTATGAGGCAGAAGCTATGTCGCGAAAGCTACGCGTCAGTAGCATGAACAGTACTCGTAGCAATAGTAGCACAAAAAGTCTCAGTAGAAACAGCTTTTTGTTCTACGACAATTCGACGCGGAGGGAAGAGATCACCCCGTAAGGCACGTGGACAGGCTTGTCGAAAGCTGTCACGCAAGCATGCAACGCCAATTAGGCCTGCAGACTGTCTGACAAAACTCTGGCTCCAAAGAGTACGCACAATATGTCTATACTCGACCACCATGCCCGGGTAAAGCACGCGGGGATGGCATACACGTCTCTCTCACTGGCAACCTCGCGCCCACGCCAGGTGTAGAATATTGGAACTATGGTTGCGTGAACCTCAGGGGGGGGGGTCGGAAACGTGGCCGAAGATGCCACCAGTAGCTGCGAAGCGCCAAGCGCATTGACCACCAGGCGGCGATCACATAATATTGGCAAATAAAGCGCAATGTGGCTTCAACCAAACATCTGATCAAGCCAACTGCCCTCAAGTCACGAATACAGCAGAGAAGGAGGCGGCGGAAGAAAGCGAAGCCATTTAGATTGGCATCTTGTAGCGAACTGCACTCATAAAATGCGAAGGGGCCGATGTACGTCACCGTATTCGGCATGACCACCTGCACGAGTTTGCTGCAAGAGCGGAAGGCTGAGTGACCGATTTCAGTAATCGAGGTGTTCGATAAATCCACGTGCTCAAGCGAAGTGCAGTTTTCAAACGCTGAGGACCCAATGAACGTCAGGGAACTAGGGATGTGCACCTGCCTTAGCGTGCCGCAGAACCTGAAAGCAGAGCCAGTGATCTCAGTGACACCATCGCAAATGATCACCGAATCTTGGCAGAAAAAATCTGGACCTGCCTGACAAGTCGGAACGCTGCAGAGCTCCCAACCAGTTTGGGTTAAGGCGAAGTCTGAAGTCCACTCGATCTGCCATCATGCCCCCTAGCATGTTGAGGCGTACAAGAAGGCCAAGTGCTGCCTGGCAGGGCTTTTGTAGTTTTCTAAGGGACCCACCCCAGCCTCTCACCACGCCCAGCTGCGTGTATCGCCCCTCCTCCACAGGGCCCCTTGGCGGCCATGGCGCATCGCTGAGGCCCTCCGAGGCTTCTAAGACAGCCCTCCGAAGCTTCTAAGGATCGCCAACATCTCTCCAGGATGGCCCAAGATGGCTCCAAGAATGACGAAGATTGCCTCATGACGGCCCAAGATGGCATCAAGATGGCCCAAAAAGGCCCCAATACGACTCAACACAAGCGTGCACGAGGAGCTCTCCGGAGGGGTAGAAAATCCAAAAACCGATGGCTCTTCATTGATTGTTGGATTCTCACGTTTCCGGGCTTCCGTCACTTCAAAACGGCCCAAGAGGCTTCCAAGATCGCCACAGAAGGGCCCAAGACAACTCCAAAATGAGCCGAGAAGCATCCAATACAGCCTCCAGAGGGCCAAAGAAGGCTCATAGTCGGCCCAGAACGGCCCCAAGAGAACCTCAAGCTGGCCCAAAAGTGCCTCAGGAGGGACCGAAGACGACCTGAGAGGGCCCCTTGACGGCCCCAGCACGGCCTCCAGAGACCCCCCAGACAGCCAAGAGAGCCCAAGACTGTAAAGAACTCCAAGATAGCCTCAAAAAAACAAAAAAGGCTGCAAAGGGCACCAAAAACTGCCTCACGGGAGCTGCAAAACGGCCCGCAACGAGGCCCCGGCCAACTTTTCAAGTATCCAGCCAAGCCGCCAAGCAAGCGATCTCCGCGACTCCTCCTCCTTCTCCTCCTCCTCCTCCTGCTCCTGCTCCTCCTCTTCCTCGTCCTCCTCCTCCTCCTCCTCCTCCTCCTCCTCCTCCTCCTCTTCCTCCTTTTCCTCCTCCTCCTCCTCCTCCTCCTCCTCCTCCTCCTCCTCCTCCTCCTCCTCCTCCTCCTCCTCCTCCTCCTCCTCCTCCTCCTCCTCCTCCTCCTCCTCCTCCTCCTCCTCCTCCTCCTCCTCCTCCTCCTGCTCCTCACCCCTCCTGCTCCCTGACGTCCTCCGCCTCCTGTTCATTAACGTCCTTGTCCTGCTCGTCGTATCCGTCTGCAGGGTCGGCGGCTTTGGCCGTAATGCGTTCGCAATCATAATCAGCATGATCATAATGGTGATCATCATCCACGTCGCCGTCATCAGCCTTATCATCATCATCATCATCATCATCATCATCATCATCATCATCATCATCATCATCATCATCATCATCATCATCATCATCATCGTCATCATCACCATCACCATCACCATCACCATCACCATCACCATCACAACCATCAACATCATCATCACCATCATCACCATCATCATCATCATGGTCATCATCATCCGCGTCGCCGTCGTCGTTGTAGTTGTCGTTTGTCGTCGTCCCCATCATCATCATAATCGATATCATCATCACCAACCCCACCATCATCGCCACCAGCATCCTGAACGTCACTTTGATCATCCGCAACCTCATCACCATCACTTAGGTGATCATATTACTCACCACCGCGACCTCCAACATTATCATAACGATTGAAACCCTCATCATCATCAGTATCATCATCATCATCAGCATCATCATCATCAAGCCCCGCATCCGAATCATCAACAGCAGCAGCAACACCGCCGTAATCCCCATTAACATCGAAGTCCATATCCTACTCAGCATCAGCATCGTCATCATCAACAGTACCGTCAGCATCAGCATCATCAGCATGAACTTCGCCACCCGCGCAGTCTGCGCCAGCTGCATCATCAACAATGTCATCCGAATGATAGTATCATCGCCATCGCCGTAAATCATCATCATCATCAGCCAGCCAGCCAGCACCAGCGACATTAGCATTACCACCACCATCAGCAACATCACCCTAAGAATAACCATATCATCGGGGTTCTTCCTATGCAGAAAATATGCGTTTCGTAGATACCACACGCGTCTTGGCGGCTGCGACCCTGCGGCCGAATGAAACTGCGGGCCAGCACCCCTGGGCCAAACCTCAAAAGTCCCGGCGTCGCGGGGCGGGCCGAGCAGCAGACTTGAGAAGGGGAAACGGTCTCGGATGAGCCCTTCCAAAGTCGCGCATTAACCATAAGGCCCTTAGATAGCTTTGCGCGCGCACCCTAGCATCATGGGGCCCCCTCGTCCCGCGGACAAGGTGCGTCTCGTAGATACCACTCGCGTTCTGGCGCCTGCGACCCTGCCGCCGAATGAAGATGCAGGCCAGATCCTTTGAACGAAACATTAATCCAGAAAACAACCCCACACGGGAAGTACCGAATTAAATTTCATGGACTAGCCCAGGGCCGGCGAAGCCAACTGCGGGCGGGTCGCGAACGCAAGGTCGGAGAAATTCACCTGTGCATTACGGACTCTATGCATGAGGGCGTGCGGGGGACATTTGCACAGCTGGACAGAGCATGGCTGCGCTCGCTCGGCAATGGCCGACCCCATCTAGCTGGCGGTGATTTTGCCGGCTGGCACTGCAGAGGCCGCGGGCGCCTACGCACCTGCGTTCACGGCTGGGAAGGTCGGCTCGCGACATAATGCCGCCAAGGAATACAGAAGCAGAAATCACCTATAACTGCACAGACGCCACCACTGCACATGAGGCCCCTCACGCGGGGCACTACCTACCCCCCAGGCGACCCTGGGCTCTCGAATCCAGCGGGGCGCCCCGCGCGCAAAAATAGCGCATCAGCTTCAGAGTGGCGACATTGCAAGCGTCTCCGCTCCTCAGCTTCTGGACATCATTCTCGCTGGCTCAGGGGGCGCCCCGCAGGGGCGGGGGCGTCCGGGTCGCCGCTGCGCGATCACGAATGACGCTAGAAGTCTGACGGGGCGAGCGAACATGCAAGCCAGCAGTTCCCCGGCGGCTGCATCCTGGCGAACGCAGCGCTGAGCGGCGGGCCGCGTCGGGTCGCCCCCGCGCCCCCGGGCCCATTGCGCAGCTCCCAGGTCCTTGCAGGCACGCCTTCACGGCGGGCGGCCCCCGCCGCGCCCCCCCTCGCCAGCGAAAATATCGCCGAGGCGCTGCCCTCTCGGCGCCGCGCCGCGCCGAAAGCGCCGCGGCTGCGGCCCTCAGCCGGAGCTCATCGAGGCGCGCGCCGAGCGCCTCACACTGGGCCCGCGTCGTCGCTGGGAGGTCGCGCCGCGCCTTGCTCGGGCGCGCGGCCTCCTCGCGCCTGGGCGACGGACCGACGGGCCGCCCATCGCCCCCTCTTCCTGACGTCGCCCAGCGGCCTGAACCCCAGGGCGCGATCGGCGCTGGGGCCGCCGGGCCCGCCCACGCAGGGGGCCGTCGGCGCTCCGAGGCGGGCGCATCTTCCCTTAAACTGCCTCGCGAGCCCAGGGCAGGTAGTGGGCGCCCTGGCGGGCCCCCCTTTCGCGGCGCTGTCAGCGCTGCCCAGCGCGGCTTCATCCAACCCTGCCATTTACAATCGCGGATCGCGCCGTCGCCCGTCGAGCCCGCCTCGGCGGCGAGGCTTCGGTTCTGAGGGCAGACCGCCAGCGACCACTAGTCCGACACCAGTCGCAAAGGTGGCCCAAACCCTCGGGCCGCATCCGCGTCAACTCGCACGGCCAGAGGTAGGCCCCCACCCCCGGAAGGACGGCGACTGCCATCTGCGCGCGTCCGCGCAGGCAAGGTCGGCGGCCATCGCCTTCCACGCCGTCTGCCGCAGGGGCATCCGCGACCTGGCCAAGACCAGACTGCGCAATCCACGCGGTCGTCGCCGAGCCCAGGGGGCGCGGCGCCCCCCACGATTGCCAGAGGTCGGGGACCAGCCCGCGCAAGCTGCCAGGGTCACCTGCCAGCACTCTGGCGGGCGACCACCGAGGAAGCTCGCGTCGAAGAGCTTCGCGAGCCGCCCACGTCGTCGTCGTCGTCCACGAGCGCCGGGTCGAGCCCCTCGGCGAACTCCTCGAAGTCCCAGAGGCGGATCTAACAGTTGCGGCGCGCGCTCTTGGCCGCGGCCCGGGCCTCGAGCTGGCCGAGGCCCTCCTTCTCGAAACCCAGCGCGGCGCCCAAGCACTTGCTCAGGCGCCGACGCGACCTCCTCGCAAACGCCGTCGACTCTGTCCGGCCCGGGCCTGGGCGAAGGGCTTCCGCTCGAGCTGCCCCCCGCCGCCGTCGCCCCGCGCTTTGGCTGCGGCCCATCTGCCACGCCCTCCACGGCCCGCCCCGGCGCCGGGGGCCAGCCCGCCGACCAGGAGGCCGGGGGCCCGAGCCGCCTCGCCCTTGCCGCAGGGGCCGGCGCCAGACTGCGCGCGCGCTTCCGCCGGGGCACATCGCGGGTCGCCGCTCCGACAAGCGACCAGCACCGACGCGGGGCCTTGCGAGGGCCCACGCTGGAAAGCGGGCTGGAGCCAGGATGGGCACGGAGGAGCCCGGCGAGAGCAGCAGGCAGTTCGCCGCTCGCGGCAGAGGAAACTCTGGCGCTGACAATAGAGACCACGCAGACGCGAGGGCTCACCTGCAAAAACTCACGCCGCCAGGGGCCCACCGAAAATTGAAAGCCACGCTGCAAGCCAGACTGCACGCCACGGACTGGCGGACACGAACGAAGAGGTGGACATCGGCGAGCGGGGCCGAGCAAAAAACAAAACGACACCCGCGTTATCGCTCAGCACCAGGGCCCCGCAATAACACCCGGGCGAGTTCAGGGCAAAACGGCAAGACCCCAGCCTGGAGGCGCGAACCTCAGGGATCGGGACTTCCCGGGGAGCCCCCGCGCGCCCCCAGGAGGCGGGGCACCCCGCCGGGGCCTCGGGAAAATCGGGCGTCGCCGAAAAGCCATGCACTCCATCGTCGGGAACTCGACCCTCGCGGTGCAGCCCCGGGGCCCATGGGGCCCGAGCGCCAGTCCGAGCCGCCCATTGTCGGCCCGGGGGCGCCCAGGTTCGACTCGCGAGACCGGCGCGCCCCACGCTGAAACCCGCCCCCCTCTCGAAAGCCCCGCCGACCCAGGCGACCCAAAATGACGCGCGCCCCAAAATGACGCGCGCGCTCCAAAATGACCCGCCCCCCTCTCGAGAGCGCCCCAAAATGACGCGCGCGCGCTCCGCGCCGCTCCAACTCCGACTCGAATCCCGAGCGAGAAAGGTCACCAGCCCCTGCCAGGCGCGAATCGCACGCGCAGAAGCCCAGGGGGAAACGACGCCGACGCAGCGGGCGCGGCAAAAGCGACTGCACGCGCGAAACAGACAGCAAATCCTGCTGGATTAGACTCACGAACGCGGCGCGCCCCAGCCAGCAATCGAAACGCGGCCCGGGCTAAATCGCACGGGCGCGGCGCCGGCCCTGAGCCGACGGCCAGCATGCCTGCGGCCAGAGGCGGGCCCTCACCCCGCGCCTCGCTTCCGCGGAGCCCCGGCCTGCGCCGCTCGAAGTCGGCCCCCCGCTCGCAGGAGGCGCGCCCCGCCCGGGCTTCGCGCCGCGGGAAGGACCTCCGCGCACGCGCAGTGGCGAGGCCGCCACCCGCTGTCCACCAGCGGCGTGGGCCGGTCATGGAGGGGACCCGACCCTCGCAGGATCGGCTCGGCCGCCGCCGGCCCCTCCCGCCGCGCCAGCGGGCCCGCGCCGAGCGCCGCCCAGCCCGGCGGGCCCAGCACCCGCGCGGGGACCTCAGGCCAGCAAAAAAAGGGGCGGAGCCAGGCAAGGGCCTTCAGCCTGCGAAAGCAGCCCTTGACGTCGGCCATCGCCAGGAAGAAGCCGAGCGCGTCGAAGGGCACCGCCTCGCGGCCGCTGGCCTCGATGCTGGCGCAAGCCTCTGAGGTGCAGAATCTGACCCCTGGCGGTGCCCGAACCAGCAATTGCTGTGTCTGGCGTTGATAATCAGCCCGGGCTTCGTCTCGTTGCCAGCCCACGCGAAAAAACATCAGAATCCTCTCGCGCGGCCCGCAGGGGGGGCGTCGAGCACCTCCAGCTCCCGCGACCGCCTCGCGAAGACATGGCCCACCTCCATGCCACGCAGCAGCTTCTGATTAGCACGGGGCGCGATATGGCGCGCCTCGAACTCGACATCCTCCACCTCGATCTCGCGTCGCACCAAAAGCTCGCGATGGGCCTCCAACTCTCGAGAGACACCGGGGTCCAGTGCGACTCAATCGGGGAAGATCTCGACGCGTCGCTCGGCAATGACACCAGGTCGGCGTCGCAGGCTGCGAGCTTCGGGAAGCCAGCCTCCACCTCGCACAAAGATCGGCGGCGCAGGAGGTCGCGCAAGGCCTCCCGGCCCGAGAGGGCCTTCGGCATGGGCCCCCAGCTCCCGAGGCCCGGCGAGGGCCCCCCAGGGCCGAAAATTGCCGAAAACCTCCCGTCCTGATTTTTTTACGACGCGATTATGTCTGGGAGGGTAGGCCCGGAACCGATACAGCTTCCGTTCGAGCCATGCCGGTTTCGTCCCATCGTCGGGCAGAGGGTACGTCCAGACGTCGGGGTCCTCGCCCACAGCCACCGCCACATGGTACTCGCCGAGGTCCAGAGACGCGATGAGCCAGACCGTGTGGTCGGCCGTGCAGGGGCGGGTCAGCAGCTGCTCGTGGTCGACGTCGTCGCCGCGATTCTGCACGCCGATCGTGCGGCCAGGGACCAGCTTATCCCACCACTCCTCGCCCGCCTCGAACATCAGCAGGCCCATTGGGAGGGCGACCAGTCGCTGTGGTCGCTGCGCGCCCGGCACGTGGCCTGCGCGCCAGCTCGACCGCCCCGCCCGCCGCTCGCCGGAGCCCGCTCGCCGCTGGGCGCGAGGCCACCTGCGGCGCCCAGCCCTGCCCCGGAGTCGAAGGGCCGTCTGGGCAGGTGGGGCACGCAGGGCAGGCCGGCGCCTCCGGGCAGTCGGGGCACCCCGAGGCCTGCAGCTCCGCGCAGACGGCCCCGAGGATCGCTCAAGGCTCGGGACGCCGGGCGCTGGGCGGGGCGGCGTCGAGCAGCTCCCGGCCGTACAGGCCGCCAGCCGCCGCCGCCGCGAGGGCCCACAGCGCCACTGAGGCCGCACGCGGCATCAGCACGTCTGCGGGGCCGGGGAGCGCGGCCTGCGGTTGCGGATGGACCCTTCTAAAGTCGCACCGTTCAACATGAACCCCCTAGATAGCTCTGTGCACGCACCCCACCTACAATCAGAATGATGGTTATCAGCATCATCAGAATAATCATAATCATCATAATAATAATAATAATGATGATAATAATAATAATAATAACAACAACACCAACAACAACAACCATCATCATCATCATCATCATCATCATCATCATCATCATCATCATCATCATCATCATCATCATCATCATCATCATCATCGTCATCATCATCATCATCATCATCATCATCATCATCATCATCATCATCATCATCATCATCATCATCATCATCATCCTCATCCTCATCCTCATCCTCATCCTCATCCTCATCCTCATCCTCATCATCCTCATCATCAGCAGCACCATCATCATCAGCATCATCAGCATCATAATCGTCATCATCAGCAGAGGCATCATCAGCATCACAGTCATCATCGTCATCATCAGCATAACCATCATCAGCAGCATCAGCATCGACCTCATCATCACCATCAGCATCATCATCAGCATCATCACCATCATCATCATCATCATCATCATCAGCATCATCATTAGCATAATCACCATCATCACCATCATCATCATCATCATCATCATCATCATCATCATCATCATCATCCGCATCCGCATCATCCGCATCATCCGCATCATCCGCATCATCATAATCAGCAGCATCACCATCATCAGCAGCATCATCAGCATCATCATCCTCGTCATCAGCAGCATCATCATCAGCAGCATCATCATCAGCATCGTCATCATCATCAGCATCATCATTAGCATAATCGTCAGCATCATAATCATCAGCAACATCATCATCGTCATGAGCAGCAGCATCATCAGAAGCAGCATCATCAGAATTATCACAATCATCCTCAGCAACATCATCATCATCATCATTAGCATCCTCATCCTCATCATCTGCATGATCATCATCAGCATCATCAGCATCAGCATCATCATCATCAGGAGCAGCATGTCTATCATCAGCATCGTCAGCATCAGTATCATCATCAAGGTCATCATCATCATCAGCATCAGCATCATCAGTTTGATCAGCATCATCATCATCGTCATCTGCAGCATCATCATAATCAGCTTTATCAGCATCAGTATAATCATGATCCTCATCAGCAGCATCATCATCAGAATCAGCATCATCAGCATTTGCATCAGCATCACCATCAGCATCACCATCATCATAAGCATCATCATCATCACCATCACCCTCAACAGCATCAGCATCACCATCATCATCATCAGCAGCAGCAGCATCATCATGCGCATCCTCATCCTCATCCTCGTCCTCACGACGGCCCTCCCACCCTCGAACAGGCGACACCCACTAGGCTAGGCTGGCACGGTGGCGGGGCTTGCCGCAGGCAGCTGGATATTTGCTTTGACATCAATTATTCCAAAGTTTGGGAGACTGCCAGAGTACTCCTCCCCGTTTATCATCATGTAATCCCCGCCCCTCTCTGAATGAAATGCAGTTACCGAGACCAAGACTGATGGACTGGCAATCTCGATGTAGCAAGAGTGCTCCAGAGAATAGTACCCTGGGAAATTTGGGGAGCGCACGCAACCGCCCGAGGCGGTGCACGGGCCGCTGACGCTGCTCCAGAAGTCGGGGGCGCTCGGCGTGGGAGCCTGCCGCGAACGGGCGAGGTCGGGCAGTGGACAATATATCACCAGCCCTCTGGGCGCATCTGGAAAACATGACTACAATTTCCAACCCCCCTCTTCCCCTCTTCTCGTTTAAAAATGGATGCACCCGTGAGGTCTGGATATCCGTCAATCCCGCAGAGCGGTCAGAGCGTCCAAGACGGCCCCAGCACGCACGGTGATGGCGAAATGTGCGCGCCCAGGCGGTCCCGAGATGGCCCACGAGGCCCAGAGAACCCCCCGAAGTGAGAGAGATCGAGCTGGCATTGTCAGCCTTTTCCTACAATATTACCTCGAAGCCCTAAAATGTTTCCAAGACACCGCGACGGGCGCGAAAGACCTCTCAGAGGTCCCCCTACAGACAGCCCAAGCCCTCCCAAACGGACCCAACAAGCTCCACGCTGCGCTGCTGTGCTGGCGCGGTGGCGGGGCTTGCCGCGCGAATCTCTGGGTAGAGGGGACAGCCACGAGACAGCCGCGGAACAACCGCGGCCAATCACAGGACAAGCGCGGGACAACCACGGTCAAGCACGGGGAAACCACGGGACAAACGCGCGACAACCACGGGTCAACCGCGGGACATCTGCGGGAAATCCGTTTCGATAATGTAACCGATCGGTATTACCATTGTACCGATCGGTAGCACTGCCAATGTATCTATACAAATTCCTGTTCCTATATTTTTACGAACCCGGGGGGGGGGGGGATAACCCCCCCACCCCCCCACCCCAATACCGGACCCCCAGAATCCGCGGTTTCCGGGCCCTCGGAAACCCCTTGCCAAACGTCCCCCAGCTCGTCCCGGACCCCCAGGGGCGCGTTGCCAGGTCTTGCCAGCAGACCCCAGGCGATCAGAACAGTCAGGAAGGCAGGGGTGGTCTAAGAAAGGCCCACATGGACTCGGGAAGCCCCCATGACGGAGGCCCTGGACAGGACCCCCAGAACGCAGAAATCGCTTCATTCCTCTGGGGAACCGTACATTTTCAGCATATTCGAGGTTCGGATTTTAACAGCGTCCAAAACAGCAACAAATGCCTCGGGCGTCGCCCCAAGACGACCCAAAAGACCCCCAAGATAGCCCCCAGACGGCCTGAATGGCCCCGAGACTGTCCAAGGAAACCACACTGGACCAAAAAGAAACCCAACAAGCCCTCACAAGGTCCCCAAGAGAAGCCCAAACAGGCCACGAGAGCCCCCCCCCAAAAAAAGTGACGCCACCAGGAGGGCCCACGCAGACCCCGCAAGGTCCCCAGAAACCCAAGCTCCCCAACGCGGCCCAAGATGGCCGCAGGACGGCTCGAGAGGGCCCCAAGGCGGCCCACCAGGGCTCCAACAACGCCCACAAAGAGATTTCCACCAAACTGCCCCGAATCCCAGGTTCGCAACCAGATTTCCCGGAAATCTGTTGCGGACCCGGGATTCGCTGCCTTCCCCAGGAATAACTTATTGTCGCGTGCCCCGTTACGACCCGCTGCAACATGACATTCTCTGTTTGGCATTGTTTTGATATTTGCGGCGTTGCTTGACATTGCGTCGGATTGCTTGGCATTGATTCGCGTGGCTTGCCATTCCTTCGCATTGCGCACAGGGGCACTTGAGCCACGACCGGGCCAATGTTCGGGTCTACGAACTCCGTTTGTCGTCATTCACTGCCAGACATTTCTGCAAGCGCGCACGCACACATGAAACCGTAGCCGCTGGCTTCTGGACAGCCCTCCTCGGTGCGGCGAAGCCAAAATCCTTCGCCGCCCCACGACGGCATGATTTCATTCACTCCTGCTGTTCCTCCTCTGGGTCCTCCTGTTCCTCCTCCTTTTCCTGCCGCTCCACCATTCGTCCTCCCCCACATCCGCTTCCCTCTCCTCGCTCCCCGAAATTCCCTCCCTCCGATCCTTCCCCCTCCAACCGGCGTTTTTTCGGGAGCCCCCGGAGGCCTGGGAAAGGCCACGGACCGCACGTATTTTCTTATACTTCCAAAAACCACCGCACGGAAGGGGCCAAGTTTCCAAGGACGGCGCGAACGACCAACAGAAGCAGAGCCTTAATTACCAAGGAGCATGGCGCGAAGCGCCAATGCAGTCTCGTGTATGTGAACACACATATATATATATATATATATATATAGATGTACCCATATACCTATATGTGTAGTTGTATGCATAGTTGTGTGTGTATGTATGTATGCATGCATGCATGCATGCCTGCATGCATGTATGTATGTGTATGTATGTATGTATGTATGTGTGTATGTATGTGTGTATGTATGGATGTATGTATGTATGTATGCATGCATGCATGCATGCATGCATGCATGTATGTATGTATGTATGTGTGTATGTGTGAGTGTATGTATGTATGTATGTATGTATGTACGTGCGTACGTATGTATGTATGTATGTACGTACGTACGTATGTGTGTGTATGTATGTATGTATGTATGCATGTATGTATGTATGCATGTATGCATGTATGCATGTATGCATGTATGTTTGTATGTTTGTATGTATGTATGTATGTATGTATGTATGTATGTATGTATGTGTGTATGTGTGTATGTGTGTATGTGTGTATGTGTGTATGTGTGTATGGATGGATGGATGGATGGATGAATGGATGGATGGATCAATGTAGGTACGTATGTATGTGGGTATGTATGTATGTATTATGTGTTTACGTATGTGTGTATGTATGGTTGTATGTATGCGTGTATGTATGTACGTACGTACGTATGTATGTGTGTACGCATGTTTGCATGTACGTGCGTATGTATGTATGTATGTATGTATGTGTGTGCGCGTACAAGGATCATCAATTGTTGGTAATATGCCCTGCTGGCCGATCCCACTTTCGATATGCCTATCGGTTTCTCGATCGGTCCCAAAACCTCCATATCGACACATTGGACAAACGCAAGACAACCACAAAACAACCATTGCCCAACTGGACAATCACAGAACCACCACGGGCCGACCACGAGACAACCACGGGACAACAACGTGTTCATCACGGGACAACCACGGGCCAACCGCACGACAACCGCGGGACAACTGCAAAAGAATCACGGAACGACCACAGGACAAAGAGATAAACACGGGACAACCGCGAAAAAAAACTTGCGCAGACAACAACTCGTTTTGGTTAGGCGAAAATATCGCGTTGCTTAGCCCCACTCGCACGCGCGTGACGCTCTCCTAGAACCGAAACCGAAACACCTTTTCCGTTTTGGAGGCCTGCGTTTAACTCCGGTTCCCCCCCGAACCTCCGACGTACAAACATTGGCGTGCCTGCTTCCACACGGGGGCCTTGTGGGACCCCACCCTTGTTGGCAACCGATCGGTGTGGAATGCACATGTGAATACCAGATCTCTCAGGGTATTCCTAACGCGCGTGGCTGAGGATCGACGTCCACACATGTCCAAACGACGGGTTCTAACCAGAGTTCCTTGGCGATTGCTGCGAAAGCACTCCAGCTCTACCAAAGACAAGACAGCTCGACCCGCGCAAAGTCGCATGCGTCAAAAACATGTTTTTGCTTGTCTTGCATCTCCTCATCCACGTACCCTGTTAACCGAAGCGCTGATCCAAACTGGGACGAAGAATCCAACACGCGTTGCTCTTTGATCGCACATAATGCACATGCTCACACGCACGCGCGCGCATGCCACAGCCATCACGCCGACCCCACAGACTCTCGACCGCCATCACAACCGCACGGGGTCCCACGCCCCACGGAACCCCAGGCCACCTCCACGACCACCATGGGTCGGCCCATCCGGGGGAACCCACGCGCGTTCCTTTGTCCATCGCAGTTGACGCGATCCGCGCGCGCGCTCTTATCCGACGGGCTCGGGCATGCACGACTCGTCCGGCGGCAGGAGAGGGGGCCAACGCAGAACGCGGCCGCCGCGGAGAACAGGATAAGGAGGGAGGGCACTCACAGCGCGAATAACATCGACTGGAGTGGCAGGGCGGCCAACCTGTGCTGAAATAGTCTGGCACAGGGCGCGCGCCGGCGTCGCGGCCGCACCCAGGGGCTGAGATGCAGGCTACAGGCGCAGAGAGAATAGACCAAATCGCGCCGGCACAGAAGGGAGAGCGGCGAGCAAGCCGACACACGCTGGCGGCATCCAGGCGTTCGTCGGAAGGACGTGGGCGACAGGCTCTGCAGCAGGCACGAGCCTGCAAACGCGGGAAGGCCCGAGCCCCCAAGGGGCAGCGCCGCGATCCGCTCGAGGCAGCAAAATGCTGGAAGAACCATGACCTGCTGAGGACCGGGCAAAGGGTCTGCGGCCGCGAGCCCGGAAGCAGCGAAACACCACCTGCTAGGGACTGGCGAACTACCGACGCCATAAGCTGAAGCGACGCAGCACGACGCCACAGCTGGCGCGGCCACTGCAGCGCCCAGCGGTGCTGCCGGGCGCCAGAGCGGCAGAGCCTGCGGGGGCGGCGGCTAGGGGCACGCGACGGAGCTGCTCGCCATGGCGCCGGGGCGGCCGGCAGGGTTACCGGGAACTGAGGCTGCCGCGCAGGACACCGCCAGCGAGACCGTCTCGCCACAGGACTGGCGAGGTGGGGCGCCCCGCAGCAGGCGCGGCGGAGCGAGGCGGCGCAGGGCGCCCTCCCGAACGGCGCAAGCAACACAGGAGAAAGGCAGCCGGGTCGCCGCGCCTCAAAGCCAGCAGGCGCGGGGTCCAGCTGGGGCGGCGAGGCAGGATGCAGCGGCCAGAAAGCCTTCCCGCGCGCGACAGCCAGGGCCCGCAAGGCCCAGGCAAGGCGCGCGGTCGATGGGAGGCGGCAAGAGGAAGAAACGAGGGCGGAACACCGACCCCACCCAGGACCCACCCAGAGTCGGAGAGAGCTGGACCACCAAGGAGCACGGCGGTCGCGTCTGTGATCAACCAATTCGCAATGAACCGTCACACTTGATCGGTGCGCGCACACGCGGGCAAGCACCCCCCTGAAGGGGCGGCCGCTTCGAATGCTTC